GCAAATGTTTTTATTCATTTTTTTTATAAAAGGGTTGCTAGGAAAAGATGAAATTGTTTTTTTAGCCTTTTAATTGTCCTGTTCCTCATTCCTTTCTGCCTAGATTCAGCTCTGTTTCATTCTTTCCTCCATTATGTGTGGCTGGCTTCTTATTGCCTTATGCAATCTGTGTCTCTGATTAAGGAATCAAATCTTAATTTAAAGAATTTGCTAGCCTGGGCTGTAGGTGGAAGGTGAGCTATCTGGAGGGATTAACAAAGAACAAATCTTGGGAGCAATTTTTATTGTGGATCATAAATCCAAATGTTACCTTCATAAATCATTCTGAGAAGCCCATGACAAAGTAGTCATTAAATATGGGATTGTGATTTCTCATGATTGCTGCATGAGGCATCCAAGAATGACTGAACAGATAATCCATAACTGTATGTTCTCCTTTGAGAAAAATTCATATTCAGAAATTATTTCCAGGAAATTTAATTCTAAGGATCCTTTTACACAAAGATAATTCTGCCAAAGCCATGATGCTCTCAGTATTTTGCAGACTCAAAGACATTTTCTGATCTAATTTTTAGCACTAAATTTCTTACCTCCTCTTGAGGCACTCAAATAGAAGCTCATTTCTCGGATGCCCTTGTGTCTGAGACAATGGACATTTCTTTTTCACAGTTCTACAGACCATGTCCCAAGATCAAGGTGTCATAAGGGCTGGTTTCTGTGAGAATTTTTTCTGGCTTGTAGCAGACCCCTTCTCGCTGTATCCTTTTGTGATTTTTTTTTCCCTCTGTGTTGAAAAATTCCTATTTGAGGTCTCTCTTTCCTACTCTCTCTCTCTCTCTCTCTCTCATTCTCTCTCATTTTGTCTTTCTTTTTCTTTTTTTATGCTGAGGATTAACCTCTGGCTTTACCTATGCTAGGCTAGCACTGAGCATATCTATCCCTGGGCCTGTTGCTGATTAGTTTATTTTCCCTGGTTTCTGCCTCTAATTGTTTTGACTACATTTGGACTTCTACACTTTTCTCTGTCATTCACAGAATAGAGACAAGGCACAATTGGTTGTCCAGGCAGGTGGAGGCAGTTTTCCCATGCCAAATTTATGACAGTAGGGGCATTTATTATCAAGAGATCAATCTCTTGATGAGTTGATCTCTGTCAGAAAATCTGGGAGTAAAGAACACTGGGAGAAAGCAGGACTGCATTAGGAATTTTTTGGACAGTAATGGGGTTTGAATTTAAGACTTTGCATTTGCTAGAGAGGCACTGTACAACTTGAGCATGCCCCAGCACTTATTAGGTGCTTTTTCTTATTTCTTCTGTGGAGCTGACTTCACAGTTGTACTGTTTGATCCTTTATACCTCCTCCTGCATCCCAAGCCCCTGTTGGAGGCCATCATTTTCTTCTCCCTGGATAATTGCTATGGTACCATCCAGCTGGCCTCCATGGCTTTATGTTGGGTGAAGCTATTTGGGTGGTAGGGACAGTTATTTGCAGAGAAAAAGAGAGAAAGTAGGGTTCCCAGAATTCCCTGTGGACAAATTGTTTTCTCTGTTAACCACTTGTCTCAGAAAAGTGGAGAAAGAGAAAGAGAAAGAGAGAGAGATCAATTCTCTACAAATGACCCTGACAGGCTTTTCTCAGACCCTGGTGCAGCCATTGGAGGCTATTCTTTTTTGTTGTTGTTGTTGTTTGTTTTTTGGTTGGTCGTGGGGCTTGAACTCTGGGCTTGGGCACTGTCCCTGTGTTCTTTCAGCTCAAGGCAAGCGCTCTACCACTTGAGCCACAGCACTACTTCTGGTTTTCTAGTGGTTTATTGGAGATAAGAGTCTCATGGACTTTCCTGCCCCGGCTGGTTTGAACCTCGATCTCAGGTCTCAGCCTCCTGAGTAGTAGGATTACAGGCGTGAGCCACCGGCGCCCGGCTAGAGGCTATTCTTTTCTGGGTTATTCCACAGACTCTGTCTATCAGGGTTCATAAGGAAACATAGCAGCTTAATATGAAGGAAAGAAAAGCAAGGTGGAAAACTCATTGTATAGGTGGTATAAGAGTCAAGAAACCAAGCGAGAGCTCTGCCATAATGGCTACTCAGAAACTAGCAGTTAGAACAGCAGGCAAACTTGGAAGCTTCCAGGGCAGGGAGGCATGGCCAGAGGTGGAACTCAGGTCTGGAGGGAGCTGGGAAAACAGAAGGTGGGCAACAGGAGAAGGAGAAGGCTCTCAGAGGGAGGTCTAGACCAGCCATTTGAACTGGCAAAGGCTGTCATTGCTCAGCAAAGGGATGTTTGTTTCCTCTTCCCAAAGGATCTGCCATACCCTCCCTCAGGAAACTCAACCCTATGTGAAGTTCCCAGGACCAGGTTCCTTCCTTATTTGTGTTCTCCCCCTTGTATGGGCTCTGTTGACTATGAGAGACTGAACTTGTGAGTGGCAAAAGCCCACCACTCTTCTGCTGTGACAAGAGTGAACTGCTTGGGCTCCTTGTGGTTCAAAGGAGCTAGGTCTCTCACCAAGTATCTGCTTGGTAGCAGCTGTCAGCTGTCAGGAGCAGCCCTGGCAGACAGTGGCCATTTAAATCCAGAGTCACCTAGCAGCAGCATTGGCTCAGATTTTATTGAAGTTTCTACATGATTCAGGAGGGATAAATCGCAAAATCCACTGAAAAATTTATCTACAGAGGTACAATTTATACAACATACCAACTACCAGTTTGAAGGGAAGGTATTCATAAACTGGCTGGTTGAACTGAAACCTCTTTGTAATACCTTCTATTTAGTTCCAAAGTATTTCTATTATTGAAAAATGATACCTTTTAAGAAATCTCTCTGCCTCTTCCCTCTGCAAGTACTAGCCTACATTCAGCCTATGGATCTATTTATTCTGACATTTCATACTATGTACTATCATCACCTGGCTCACCCGAGATCTTTAGATCTCAGCCTGTAATTCTGGCTGCTCAGGAGGCTGAGATCTGAGGATTAGGATTCAAACCCAGCCTGGGTAGGAAATTCTGTGAAACTCTAATCTCCTACTAACTGCCCCAAAGCCAGAAGTGGAGCTGTGGCTCAAGTAGCGGCATGCTAGCTGTGAGGAAAATAGTTCCACAACAGTGCTCATGCCTTGAATACAAGACCCAGGACTGGCCCTCATGCATGTATCCATGCGTGTGTGCACACACATGTGCACACACACAGGTGTCATGCAACATATGACCTTTTGAATCTGGTATTTTCCACTTAGCATAATGTTTTCTATGTTTATCCATGTTGTAGCATGGGTCCATGCATCATTTTGTGGCTGAAAGAATAAACAATATTTTTATTTTCTATTTATTTGTTGATGGTCATTTGGGCTATAAACACTTTGGAGCTCTTGTGACTAGCATTGCTTTGAATATTCATGTGCATATTTGAGTCTCTGTTTTTAATTCTCTGGATCTATATCTAGGAGTAGAATTTCAGAGTCACATGGAAATTTTATGTCAGCTAAGTTCAGTTTCATAATTTAAAAACCTTCTCTGGATAGTAACCCCATCTGAATTAGCATAATCTTGAACTGAGAAACATGTTCCAGGTCCTGGATCAGGAACAGCTACTTCATCATCTCTCTGACTTGTTGATTCACCCACTGCTCCTGCACTTGCCCACTTCCACACTTTTATGAATCAATTCCTTCTAATCAGGCAATCCATCCCCTACCCGTTCTGTTTCTCTCCCCTGTAACAGAGCATCCTTTCCTGAATGCAAGAGATGAAATGATGTGTGTGCCTCTAATATGATATAGGAAGGGTCTGCTTTGAAAATAAAATGGGTAAGCTGATGGTTGAGATTTCTTGATACTGAGTTAAAAGCCAATCATGATAGCCAACTGTGAGGTCTGATACTCTAAGTGTATCTGCATGGAGAACTATGGTTGTTCCACTAAGATGACCCTGCCCAGCCTCTGAGGAGAGGAGTATGAGTCAGACAAAACCAGTTGTGTGTGTTAGACCCCATTGTACCAGGTAATATTCTTCAATTTTGTGTGGCCAATTGTATAACAAGTAAAAAAATGAAATTGATGTTCTTTTTTTTAAATGAGCTTATAGAACATTCGAGTTATTTCCTTTGCTTTCCCACTTACAGAACATTGACATCTTGTGAAAATTGCTTTATGAAATGGGAGATGACCAGACTGCATTGCCAGACATTTTCTACTTCTGACCCGAACTTGGGGGAAGGGGGGTGCAGGTGGGAGGGGGAGAGGGAGAAGATCTCTGGATGTGGAACAACAAACAACCTGCTGAGTTCATCAGCCTGTCCAAAGAGTGCAAGTGTGCAGGGATCTCAGAGGGTGCCTCAGGCTCACCCGCCATGCCAGCACCTACCACCCACCAGAGAGCTCCTGGCTGCCTGAAAGTTCAAAGCCCAATATCCTGGGGAACATGGAGGCTAGGGGGGTGAAGGGTGAGGGAGGGAGAGGCAGAGCATGAAGTGGGGGGTATAGAAGCAAAATGGATCTTGAACTACAGTTCCTGTAACCTTTCAAGACCAAACACTTCCATTTTATTTCCCCTAGTCTGTCATAGCACCACCAAGATGTAAATATTTCAGTAAATTAGTATGAGAGCCGATGTTTCAAGAAACAGGACAAATAATTGAATCCAATTAACATCAAAGATACGGTCCGTAGGACCTGGCTTCTCATGGAGTGTATCAGTTGGATGGGAGTGTTGACATCTTAGCATGTTAGGCATACTGTGTATTTTTGTCCAAGAAGAGCCCCAAGGCAGCCTTCTGGAACTCAGCCCTCCCTAACAGTGCACAGCTAGTGAAAAGAAAAAATTCCTTAGCAGACACAGAGCATGAGAGGACATTTGATGCCTGCTTTATTCAGTCACCAGTAATCTCTCTTGCATCAGTCACTTTTGTTAGAATTGACTAATAGGCCACATGCCTCCCTGCTGGAGCTGGGCAGATATAAGGGCCAGTCTTCCAGGCTGATTTCCTGGCTGGGAGCAGGGAGCAGCAGGCATGGGGCAGGCTGGATGCCAGTTCCAAACCCTGCTCTGGAAGAACTGGCTGTGCAGGCTGCGCCACCCGGTGAGTGCTACCTAAACTCTTCAGAGGGCTCCCTCTGCTCCACCAGGGGCTGTTGGCCCATGCCTTCCAGTAGATGCAAAAATCTCCACTGCAGAGATGGGGTAGGGAATGGGAAAGCCAGGCTGGATTATTTTACTTCAGGGTGTGAACTAAGGGCCAAGATAGTGCATCTCTAATTACCAGAGTGACATCAAGCCAGAAGATTTTTTTTTAAGCAAGGAGTAATTTAGAGACATTCTTCAAAAATATAATAAGAGGAATTTACACTGTAATTGGTATTGGCATATTTGTTGTAGAAAATGAATGGTGAATCCTCTGATGTCAGGGACAGTTAATGCATAAAGGGCACATTACAAATACCGATTCCAAATTATGTGAGTAAAATATATAAGGAGGCCTTTGTATGATTCACTATGATTTCCTGATTTCCTCTCTTTAGGGTTAATACACATGTTTTAGACCCATATTCAATTATATCAGCAAGGCTTTCCTAAAGTGATTGGAATTGCCAAAACCAAACTTGTATAGAGCTATAAACAAAAATCCCATAAGAGAATATTGTACTGAAGTAGAACTCAATTGCTTTCTGTCTTTATATTCCTGAGGCCACCAGATAAGCATTAGCATATAGAGATGCCATTTAGAGCAGCTATCAGCAGTAATGTGTCTACATTATGTATTGTATAATGCACTGAACATAGGAAGTTTTCCTGTTAACACTTCTGTTGGAAGAAATTCAGTAGTTGACATGTAATCTCATTTTGATGCATCATCAGATCCAGGACTGTCTTCCTCTGCTTTTAGAAGGCAAACATTAAAAATCTTTTCTTTTTTTGTGTGATATTAGGATCAGAACAATCTCAATTGAAAATGAAAACTAAACTTTTAATAAGAAATGAACAAGTGACACTTGAACACTTTTTTTTTTTGCCAGTCTTTGGTTTGAACTCAGGGCTTGGGCACTGTCCTTGAGCTTTCGTGTTCAAGACTAGCACTTTACTACTTCAGCCACCACTGCACTTCCAGCTTTTTTTGGAAACAAGAGTCTCACAGATGTTTCTTGCCTGGGCTGGCTTTGAATCACAATCCTCAGAGCTCAGCTGCCTAAGTAGCTAGGATTGTAGTTGTGAGCCACTGGTGTCTGACTTTGCACTCTTCATGAGTTCTAAGTGTTCCTTTTCTACTTAGGAGTTTCCATTTATGAAGAGTATGTTTCATTTTATGTAAGACTATTTTGGGAAATTAAGTCTATTTTTCTGTGAACAAATATTCCAGAGGAAAGCTGTTTCCTATATAGCATTGGCCTTTTTCTATCATGTAGGTCAGCTTACTAATTTCAACTGCTTGGTAACCTACTCACTGTTGGATACCTGCATTTTTTGCAGTTATTATTTCTACAAGGAAAACATCTTCATCACATTTAATTGATTGATTGATTGATTTGGTACCTACCTGGGGGACTTGAACTCAGGGCCTGGGCATTGTTCCTGAGCTGTTTTTGTCCAAGGTTGGTGCTCAACCATTTGAGCCACAGCTCCACTTCTGGTTATTTTTGGAGATGAATTGGAGATGAGAGTCTCATGGACTTTTCTGCCTGGGCTGGCTTTGAACCCTGATCCTCAGATCTCAGAATCCTTAGTAGCTAGACATTTGATTTATTCATTTGATGACTGCTTATTTAAAATTATAATTTCTATAAGTCATTTGACTTATTTTTGTCTTAAATACTTAGAATATATTAGATATTATAGGTCATTTAAAAATTAGCACATATTGTGCAAAGTAAGGTCTTCCTCTGTGATTTTCCAGACATGCATTTAGTGTACTTTGTGTATTTACTACAGATTTATATATTTGTTAATCAACTCTGAACCCTGCATTAGGATGTAAGATTCATGAGAACTGATGTTTACCCGAGTGTTATCCAGCACCTTGAATAGTGCCTGACACACAATAGCTGTTCAATAAGTGTTTTCTGAATGAGTAAAAGATATACATTTATTGCATTTCTGTTGGGAGGAACAGATATGTGCCTTTTCCTCTATGGACTATAGTCTGTTCTGTGAAAATTAACCAAATACACAGTTGAATATTCAATGAACTCATTTCTGGGTATGTGTCCTACAGAGATCTCTGTACAAACGTGAAATGGTAATTGTGGTAATTCTGCAAGATCATTCATTGTGATACTGCTTACAACAGCAACAAAGTAGAAACAATACAAGTTTTAGTGCATAGAATTTGGAGGTACTTGACCACTTGAAATCTCAGCTCTGCCACTTATTTAGACAAATTTCCTAACAAGCTTTACCGCTCTATAGGTGAGATTTTTTTTTGCAAGGATCAAGATTGATGGGTTAGTGTATGTAATTCACAATGGCATTGGCACCCAAGATATGAATTAGAGCTGTTTTCTTCTCAGGCCACTGTACTGGATGTGTTAGAAATGGGTGTCTTAGTCAGACACTTTGTGGCTCATTCCTATAATCCTAGATACTCAGGAGGCTGAGATGTGAGGATAATGGTTTGAAGCCAGCAGAGGCAGGAAAATCGGTGAAACTCTTATTTGCAATAAACCACCACTACCACCATCACCACCAATAAAAAACGCTGAGGTAGAGCAGTGGCTCAAGTTGCTCATTGGTAGAGTGCCAGCCTCGAGTGCCCAGACCTTGAGTTCAAGCCCCAGTACCAGCACAAAAAAAGAAAAATAGAAAGAAAGGAAGAAAGAAAGAAATGGGTGCCTCAGACATCTAGGACATGAGAAGTGAGAGAAGTAAAGCTAGCTCTAAGTTTCCAGTTTGCATGACTGGGTTAGAACAGAACCCGAGGGAAGATAGGATGTGAATATGTTCACATCTCTTAATCAATTGCAGTGAAATATTGAGGCCAAGCCCCTCTGGGAGGATGTCTTGAAATTGACCTACTTTTCACAGTTTCTTCTTATTCTTCACAGATAATCTGTTAATTCTTTGTTTTTGCCTTATGGAAATACACTGTAAGCATGAATAGTGGAAAAACAGGTGACAGAGTGAAGGAATGACCCCAAATGAATGTCTAGTTATTGAAGAACATCCAGGCACTATTTGTAAAGTTAAAGAAGCCTGTTTGTTTTATATTTACTTAAAAATTCTTCATTTTATTTTAACTTCTTTGAAAGCATGTTATTATAGAAAAAAATAGTGTAACGGATTGAAAAAAAAATCCCCACCATGATACCTAGATTGTTAAAATGCTGCTGTTCTTGAAAAGAGGTTATTTATATAGAAGTATAAGTTTAGAGCTATTTTAATTCCATTTATTTTTTCCTCCTGATTTTTTATCATGCAAGTAGAACTAGAATAATAAGGGAAAATTTTATAAAGCAGCTCATATTGGATAGTGTCAGTGCTAATGTCATTAGGATTAAGCCGTTTTACATAGTGAAAAAAAATCACAGCCCCCTTTTAAAGCTCAGCATTAAAAAAGCATTGTGGTGGGATCTTTCTCTTGGGTAGCTGTGTAGTCTATCAAGTGGATGGACACAACTTATTTGACCTTTTTTTCTGCTAGGAGGGAACAAAGTTCCTTCTAACTCTTACTGGTGTGCATACCCTCATGATGCATGAAGGAGCATCTTTGGGACCCTTTCTCTTGATTAAGTTTCCTGGGACAGAGCTTCTAGGTAAAAGGCATGATTTGGGACAGGTATTCAGCAGTTGATGATGTTCCCAGGAATGTTCCTGGATATACCTTAGGCAGCCAAGGTATATCAACACTAGGTAAGTGTCTACACTAGGTAGGTGTCCGTGGGTGTTAGCCAGACAATTGCAGGTGAATTTCACATTTATTTGAATATTTCATGCATTACTCCTAATTGAAAACAACAAGAAGATACTTTCAGCCAAGTGTCTACCTCCAACTTCCACTGCTTTGATATTAACTGATGTGGCCAAACCTATTCCTTGTGCAGTATGCCTGTCAAATCACACAGCAGTGACCTTTCTTGGGCAATGTTGTCTCCCATCTCCTGATCTCCATTTTAAATCTTATCCTCATGACTGCTGACCTCACCGGCTTTGCCTCTAACTGGACAGAAGTCAGATCATTTTACTCTGTTTTAATGAAAGCTGACACAGCCTTCTGAGTTTGGTCAATCTTACTGAAAACTTGGGCTTGTGGAGGAAGACTGAAGGATACTTTCATATGAGGATATTGCTATAGGTCGGATTTTGAATATCCCTCAAAGGTCTATATGTTAAAGCCTTGTCCCTAAAATGGTACAATGGAAAGGCTATGTGGGAGGTCTCTGTATCATAACAGCATGCTCTGGAAGGAGATTGTGGAGCTCTAGTGTCTTTCTCTCTTTGTTCCCTGGCTCATGATTGCATTCACCACAAGCTCCTGCAATGATCTGCTACAGGTTCAATGCAATGGAACAACTTAGCAAAGACTAGAAACTCTGAAACTCTGGAGCCAGACAATCCCTTTTCTAAGCTTTACTATCTCAGATATTTTGTTATAGTCACAGAGAGCACCATAATTCTAAAAACCTATGGTGGTTGTGTGGGGCCTATGAAAATTACAAAACTATAACTAGAATGTCTTTCTGTTGGGCACTGTAAAACATAGGACCCATTCATATATACTCTGCATCTCTCCAACACAAAAACATTGTATTTTTGTTTTAAAAAGCCACAGTGATACAATATGTTTTTTCTCTTAGGTACAGACAAGAGCCCAGAAATAGTAAGGGAGTAGCTACCAGTGGGAACTCCTTCCCACCCTC